CAAAACTCGAAGCTAACAAACCAAACAAACAAAGGCACGTAAGCGGTTAGCACTAATTTCATTAAATTTGAATGTGCGAATTTTCGCATCACGGGTCGGCCCCAACATAAAAATGCCCTTGAGAATTTTTACACTAGGCACGTCATGTTATTTAGCAAGCTCCATAAAAATCATTTGCTCTCAATATGAATACGGACTATTTTATTAAACTAATTACTTTATATGTGTTGTTCTATATACAAGTTTCAAAATTAGTAATTTATTCATCAACACATTGCTGTAATTATAGTATTACTTCTTAATTGTGTTATATTTTAAAATTCTTTAACAAGTTGAAATGAAATAAACCTATGGTTCTAAAACAGCAGCGCATTTGCAGCGAAGATTTGTACAAATCTTCAAATTTAGTATTCTCTCAAAACTCTATATTTAGAGTGCGCGTTCGCGTCAAATTCAAATCGCGCTTTGAACTATATCTTCAAACAAGAGATTGCCAGTAAGTGCACAAAATAAAGCGTCATACCAGCCTCAGTCCTGCACTTGAAGAGTCAATATTAGCTTATTAAATTTTAAAAAAAATTAACACGCTAACAGCCAGGTAGCTGGTAAGACAAGTTCTTTTAAGTGAAATAAGCGAAGGAATTTTTATATTAATACGTATTCTTGTTACGTTGTGATTTTTTATGGAACATTATCTTCGCTATCTGGAAAGCTATTAATTTCTAATTGTTAGATATCCCCCGGGATATTCCGAGCTAATAACCACTTAAATATATTTTATCTCGTATGTTATATGATAAGGTGTTTGAAGTTCTGCAATGAAGTATGGTGTAGACATATTTTTGCACGAGTTTTATTGATTTGAGAGCCTATAACGGTCAACGATGTTGGGCTACAGTGACAGACATAGATCTAGATTTAAACTGAATTAACAATAAAGTGGTCTTAAAAATCTTTTATTGATATCATATAATAAAAAAGAAAACGTGTGGCACTCGGAGACTGCCGCGGTACAGCTATTTCATAGCATTTTTTATCAACTTATAATTACAACAATTATAATTAATTATTTATTTTTTATTTATGCAGATTTTTCTTTTTCTTTGAAGTAAGTAAGTTTTTTCCTTGCACCAGCCGCGCTTACGCTACGTCACCGATCACCTACATTACGTTATCCTGTGATAGGTTTATTTCGTTACGGAATTTCTTGATTCAGTCGCCGCGCTCAAAGCCCGCGATAAAATCTATGCAATAGCTTAAAAATATATCTTTTTCCTATGATCAATCTGTATACTCGTATGTTTACGTTAAGCCTACATAAAGCGCTAGGACCCCACAGGTCCATAGGGTCTAGATAGTGTTATAGTATAGACTATAGACTATAGATGAACGAAGCCACAACAAAGGAGTGTACACTTTTAAATACTTGCATTTTTCATACGGTAAAAAAATAAATATGCATAATTTAATACAGGATTGATTTGAATTACGAAATCCTTAGTGTACAGCTTGCTAGTTAGTGGACTGTGAAAAGTGTGTTTAAAATTTATCTGTATTTAATGTCAGGAGTATCTGAATAGTATATGTAATGTATGTATGAGCAAGCTGCACTAGATAACTAAATATATGAGAGGGTGAGAAGTAAGAACCTAACAACCCTACGGATCCCTAAGCCCTACAGACGTACCCTAACACATAAATATTGAATATATAAATATATAAATAAGTACCTGATGTCTGCACCAAGAGACCTAAGGTACAGACGGAGCCCTACGGGTAGGATCAAAGGTTCGAGGTGGTGGGATTATCTCAAAGCTACCGGGCAGGCTCACCACGATAATTAAGGGCTTGAAGTAGTCTTCGCCACTTTGAGAGGAAGCGAGAAATGAACAAGACAGAGCAATATTCAAATCTGATTTATTGTTATAAAACAATATCTTAAATACTAATTACACCTATTCATACATACATGATATTTTGGTAGTGAGCTGTTGGTGTATCGCGCAACCTCAGCTATTAAAATTTGGAACACATATGAACCGTGTCAGCAGCTGATTTATGTTCAATGATGAAATCTGAACACTTAGTATGGATTCTTTTAAACCTATATATTTGATGCCTAAATTTGTAAGGACGCTTAAACTTCACAATATCGGACTTTAAATTAAATTCTGAGCTCAACGTGTGCAGTTTCTGAGATCTAGTTATCGTAACTTTGTATGAACAAGGGCAATTCTAAGACTTGACATTGTAGTTTGAAAAGAATATTGAGTATCGCCATGAAAGTCAAGTAGTATATTTTCTATTAAGGTAAAATAAAAACGGATTATATTTGTATTAGAAAATAACACTAGTTAAAAAATTTGCAAAGTAAACGAAACGTCGGCACTATTAGGAAATTATTTTATGCTGTCAGCATTAAGTGTATGTACTCATAACAAAACAATTTTTATTACATTTTTTTAAAGATTTGTGGTCAATTAAACGCGTTTTAATTCCGTAAAGTTTTTTTTTCATGTACTGCATTCACTTATGTTGTTAATAAAATAAAAGGAAATATGAAAATTATAATTGTTTACTTGCTGTTGCAGTAAATTTTAAACTTGATTAAAGATAGACTTCGAAACTGAAAAAATATCAAGGATAATATAAAATAAGGGTCATGCGCTTTTTCAACATAATTTACTCAACAAATTACTTTAGGTTGTACTCTTATTGAAAAATGTTAATTGAGTTCAGATTTTAATGAATGCAGGAAAATTATGAAAATACATTTTATTTTAAAACACAAATATTCATCTCGTTAGTTTGTAATTATAATTTGTCAATAAAGTAATTTTATTTTTACTAGCTGCCTCCGCGAACTTTGTTTCGCCTGAATATTATATTTTACTAAGCCTACCTTTTTGTCGTTACATACCAACATGGAATATTTTGCTACGCTACCCCATAGTGTGGCCATAGACGGACCGCATGTTGCAGTCGATACCGACTGCTCTAAGCGGTCGCCGCACGGCGATCTGCAGTTTCCATACTAAATTCATATCCGCCGTACACGGACCGCACGACCAGTTTCTGAGCGGTCGGAGCAGTCGCTCTGCGGTCGAGTTTCGCTGTGCTGTCGACTGCTTAGAGCTGCCGGACCCACCATTCACGGACCGCTACAAGCGGTTGCTGCCGACCGCACGGCACTCCCTCAAATAAAATAACATACTAACTAATTCATCAAATGAAACCACGGACATTCTAAAGTAGTTGAAAAACTTTTTAGTGTCTTCTCTCAGCTGGTGATACAAAGTATGAAATATTCCATGCTGTTCTCTTGATTGTAGTATTGGACGCACTCACGTACTACGGTGTCTTCTACGCCTACGCTCGCGTAATAATAGTATAAGTAGCAGTGTTTCTTCATCGAAATCCATCTTGTCAATGAACTCGCATCAGTATTATTTTGCGGTCGAACACAACTGCTCCAAGCAGTCGTAGTCGACTGCACTATGCGGTCGTGTTGCAGTCGTGTACGACTTCAACGCGACCGCTCTACAGCAGTCGGTCTTGACTGCAACATGCGGTCCGTCTATGGCCAGCGTAGAGACTGTTCGGTTTTCCGGAACAAAAACATACTTAAGTATTACCGCTTGTAGCGGTCCGTGTATGGTGGGTCCGGCAGCTCTAAGCAGTCGACAGCACGGCGAAACTCGACCGCAGAGCGACTGCTCCGACCGCTCAGAAACTGGTCGTGCGGTCCGTGTATGGCGGATATGAATTTAGTATGGAAACTGCAGATCGCCGTGCGGCGACCGCTTAGAGCAGTCGATATCGACGGCAACATGCGGTCCGTCGATGGCCACACTTAATAAAACAAAATCTTAAAATTTTTCTCTTCATACAAACCACCAACTCGGAGTTCAAAGAATAAATAAAAAAAACAATTACTCGAATTGGTCCAGCCGTCTTCAAGGTCTGCGCTTGGCAAAATCTTTTGTGATTAATTTTTATTTAGATGATAGTAGGTAATAATGTTACATCAGTAACCTATAGAGACCACAATCGTCATGTATTTGCTTCTTGTAACATATTTAATCACGAATAACAAATAGCATTTCCAATAGAAATACGAATCCGAACCGAACAAATTTATAAGAGAAATGTTTTCGTATCGAACTAGTTAGTTCTACAAAAACCAACAGCTGCGAGCTAAATCTACATTGTCTAAGGTTGGGTGGGTAGTTTATATAAAATTACACGGTCTTACAAAAATAGCTCAGATCTAACTCTAGTAAATTACTTATTTAAAATGTACAAGTATTTTTTATTATCACTCAACGTATCTTTAAACGATAAAGAACGTTACTTTATGTACGAATGCTTATGGTGAGTACCTATTGACAAACATTGGTATTTTCCATATTTTTCTACGGATCAGAGTCCTGGTCAATTCGGGCAGCAGACCGGAAATGAGGCATTCGAGATGTGGTGTTGGAGGAGAATGTTGCGAATACCGTGGACTGCAAAAAGAACCAATAAGTCCATTCTCAACCAACTAAAAATCACCACAGATTATCAACTATCATTTACAAACGGGTGCTTAGCTACTTTGGCCATATTGCCAGGAGATAATCAAATAGTCTCGACAAATTGATAATGGTAGGGAGGAGTGATGGCAGGAGAAGTCGGGGTTGATCACGAATCACCTACCCGTTGGTCTGACCAGGTAAAGACAATTATGACAAGAGACAAGCTGAGGATAGAGTGGTGTGAAGGAATTCGATGTATCACTTAGGACTTTTCAGGACAAGCACGACCTTCAGTAATGAAGTTTGCGACGAAGAAGATGATAGACAGACTTATTCTGTGTCATTCCCAATAGTTCAGTGGCAGTCAGTCAGACTTTTCAATGCTCCTGCCTTTAGGTCGAAAGAAGCATACAACACCGTTCCTCCACAGTGTGTAAAATAAGTGAAATATAATATAGTATGATATGTTATGTTTGTTCACAGATATATGCGTTGGTGTGCGTCATATCACAGTTTCAAGAGTACATTGATGGGCGAGGGACCGCGTCGTTCGACTATTCCGATAGGGTGAGTCAAAGTCCTATGACATCACCATAGAGTATCTTTGTAACAAACAGTTGTTGCATACATTTGCGACAGCTACAAACCTAGGTAACCATCACTGAAGGTATTCCGACCAGTCAGTGGTTGGACTGATCGAGCATCCTTCTTTAGGGTGGTCAGAGGAAGAGCTGCTGTTCCTTTCACCTCAATCTCACCTAACTGCACCTACACATTATAAATCCCTTTTGTCAGTTTTAAATCGTTATATTTTAGTTCGGAATGAGACATGACTCCATTATTCCTCATGTATAAAAAGAAAATAATTGTATATTAAATTCGTTATACTTATTTAAAAATCAAACTGCCTGCTCTTTCATACAAATTAATACAATATACACCCCTACAAACCTTGTGTGTATTAATTGAATTTATGTTTAGTTTGTAGGCTCTACACCTCACCTACAACTTACCGTAACTTATATATTAGCCGATCTGTTCCTACTTTCTCGAAGTTTTATATTGCGTGAGACGTTTTCATTTTCATATACAATCAAATTTTGTTCATCATATTATGAAGTTCAATTAATACATATTATTGTGTATGGTACCAATTTAATATGCTAGGGTAAGGAGCGGATAAATGGTTCAAAATTCCAATTAAAATCCTGTGATTAATGATTATTACGCTTGTCATAGAATTATTAATAGAGCAAAGATTTTATTTGAAATCCATTCTGGTAGTTAGTTACTTCTTGAACTAGCTTACTAAATCAATTAAATGAGCAATCACTAAAACAATCAGACAGAATAGAAAGGCAGCGCAATATACCTGTCCAGGTTTCACACGCATACAAAAGTATGTAGTAGTATTAAAAAATTAATTACTTAGGAATAATTTTAGCCAATGTAACGCAGCGCTGCAATGGGTGAAACAATTTTGAAACGGGCCGTAGCTTTGGAGTTTAATCTTTATAGACATACAAATATAGGTATAGGTTATTCTAATTATAATAATAATAATCTTTATTTCTTCTCTCACATATACAGGTTATTATGATTAAACTATGATGATAACATTAGGAAGTGTATGTGAGAGACTGAAAGTAAAGATTACGTTTGAATTTTTTATTATTAATGGGATTTCTTAATGCTTTGATTAACAGTTATGTGTTATTGTGAATGGCATAAGTGACTTGGTTTAGATTATTTTTAACATAAATACAGTTCTAAATCTACACTGATTTCGGTGAAAAGATCTTATCTAAGACATAAATTATTCGCTATGAGACAGCATCGGCGATCGTTCAGTAAACACTGTCCTGTCACTACGTTATGCTTTGTTCTAGGTTCTTTAATTCCTATACAAATAATTGACAGAATAAATATAATAAATTAATATTGATTATACATATCGCCCAATAGTGATTGCTCAAACAGAATGTAGGAGAGACAAGCCACACTGTAGACCAATTACAATTCCACGAAACACAATCGTTTCTTCTCACGTTTTACTCTCTATTCACACTGGCATCTATGACCACCAACCTAATCGTTACGAGATAATATCTACAGACATTTTTCATTCGTATAAACCATGTCAAATATTTGTATACTTAGAGCTTCCGTGTTTGCGATCTAATTAACAATCGAAGATCTAGCTGTCATTGCATGTACGCTACTTATAACCCAACTTCAGAACTCCTAACTGTAAATTTGATTGGTATTCTTTCTTTCGACTGACTGCGTTAGAAATGTTTTTTTTTTTTATACATGTGTCTTCACTAAGACATCATGGAATATTACGATCTAGCCTAAACTTAAGACTAATAAGTAATTTAAGTCTAACCTAATTTATTACAAAGGATATTTAACATAAGAAAGTGTCCAATAACACTACTTACAGTCTCTATTAAAGGGAAGACACTTTGTTCTTGTGTTCTATTTTTTTCAATCACTGTTTACCACTTAATACTAACGTGCACTAACACTAATTCACTAATTCAAACGGTTTTGTCCTTTTCAATCTTCTCACTAGGCCCGTGGTGTCAAGGAGTTGAATAGCCTCGAAATTCACGTGATGGTGGAGCCTATGTTCGTGGGCTCCAGCAGTCTTTTTTATTACTGTGGCGACGTCCTCTATATTAAGGTCCCGATGGAGGTCTTTATTGCGAATATACCAGGGAGCATTGACTATTCCCCTGAGCACTTTGTATTGGAATCGTTGGATTACTTGGATGTTACTATTACTGGTACAGCCCCACAGCTGGCAACCATAAGTCCATACAGGTGTCAGGACTTGTTTGTAAATTAATAATTTATTTTGAACTGATGCCTTCCGAGCAACCAGTACAATTTAGTGTAACGGAGATCCAACTCTTCACGCTTCTTTTTAAGATGGACCTTCCATCGGAGTTTGGTATCCAGCGTCATACCTAGGTACTTAGCTGAATTTTGGAACGGCACTTTGACGTTATCAATATATACTGGCTGGTAATTTGATGTTTTGTTGGTAAAGTTTATGTGAACTGATTTAGACTGATTTAATCGTATCCGCCATTTTTTGGTCCACAAGCCAACAGTATTTATGGATTTTTGTAGTTTTACTACCGCTTCTTTTTCAGTATCTGCCGTAGACATGATAGCAGTATCATCGGCAAAGGTAGCGATTATGTTATCTTCTAGTTCAGGAATATCGCATGTGTATAAGAGGTACAGGACCGGACCTAATACACTACCTTGCGGCACCCCAGCTTTTATTTCTTTCAGTTCTGAATAATCATCTTCTTGTCGTACTCTAAACATTCTTTGTGTTAATAATGTGTAGAAAAATTTATAATAATAATTGGCTTTTTTTGCTGTAAAACACTTGAAAAATGTGAAGTTCTATAAACACTAATAATTAATCGATAAGCCGGTTAATTTCTGTTTTACAGCTTGTCCTTGGACATAGGCCTCCTCTAAGAGCTTCCACTCTTCTCGGTGTCTAGGTTTAGGTACGTAGCCACAAAGGGCCAACTGCTCTACTTGTATCATCTTCTTTTGTCCTAGCGAGGAAGCCATTCCGTCAGTTTTCGTCCATTCATCTTTGTCTTCTCTCAGAATGTGTCCTGTCCATTTCAATATTTTACTAGAAGTAACAGCACACAATGTAGTCTGCAAATAATGATAATCTGTTGTATTTCTGACCATTTCTTTTGCGATAAAAAGTCAACTAGACAAAATATCCATACAAAGCTCCTCTGAATAACCGACCCGAAGTTAGTGGAATATAATTAAAGTCGGCACCAAATGAACAGTGTATTTTAAGCTCGAACTTTAATCTGTGCCAAATTATAGTGCAATTAAAACATTTTGTTAAAAAAATTAAGCCACATAATTGATCTTGGATCACTTCGCTTTTACATAAAACGCTCACGTTGCAGTTCCATTCTCAGTTGCATGAAGATCCATAAACGCCTAAAGAATATGGGACAGATACATTTAACCACTTTTTGGTGCCGATTGGATGGATCTAACATACCGGTTTCCTCACGATGCTCTCCTTCATCAGCAAGTATTAGTTACGCACATAAAAATCTATTACTTGCTGGGACTCCCCGGTAACCTTAGGACAGAGAATGTCACGCTTAGCCCTAAGGCAAACATTGCTCTGACAATTGGATTCGGCCAATCGATAAAAGTACGGCTGCCAACCAGAAATATTTTTTAGTTTAATTAAAATTACTTTTGTGGCTTGACAGCAACATCCTTTATTGCATCACATTTTTTAATATTTATACTTAATTTTAATTGTTGTACATGCAGTGTAATAAGATATATTTTATTTTATTTTTTTTAATATTAGTTAGTTAGTTATTAGTTTATGTGTGGTCTTTCAAACCGCCAAACAACTTGTGGTTTCGGGAATCTAATTCTAGGTTCTAATAACCAAATGAATTAATTTAGTATTGATCAACTTCGCCTCGACACCTGTTAAGTGTAGATTGAGGAAAGTTCATTACGCGCGATAGTTCCAACCCCTAGATTACGTCATAATGCATAGACTTATTTCCACTAGAATACCCAATTCCTTCTACCTGAATGATCACAAGCCGAGACGTATTTACTACTATATTTATCATCATAATGGAAAAATATTATTTTTTATAATTCTGTAGAATCTAATTTAGCGTTTGATTCGATCGGGAAATGGTTGATTTTGAATGAAGATGCACTTAATCCAATTTGATTACACTCTGCTTCAAAGAAAATGTTCTTTATAAAAAGTTTATATTATTGAAACTAATTGTCCATATCTAAACAACGTTTCTCAGACTGGAACGCTGTTTGTTTATTTTTATATCTTAAATAATAAAATACAAAACCACTTCTTAAGTACAAAGTAAAGTTTGTTTTTTGTTCCAGTTTAGTTTTTTTTTCTTAATAACTATATGCAATATGTACTTTTGCACTTCTTGCCTACCATATCTAATTTAATGCATTTTTTTTCTCACAGTGGTTGCCTGGAAGAGATCGCTCGAAAGCGATAAGGCCGCCAGTTGCCCTCCTTTAATTATGTTATTTTTTTATATTGTAATGCAACGTTAATAAATAAATTTTTAATTATTTCTCTGCTTTTAATTACATGCACATACACCGTTACTTTTATAGCAATTCCGATTTTAATATTCACTTTCCGTGACACATAATAACGAATCTAAAGCAGTGTTGATGTAGTGGCTTCAGCGTGCGACAGCGGTTAGATCCCCGGCTGTGCACTAATTGACTTTATCTGCACCTTAGACCCAAAATATCGACGGCGTGTCTCAAACACAGGAGGCTGATCACCTATTTTCCCATTAGATTGATAGAAACATGATTAAATACAGAAATCTGATGCCTAGACCTAAAAAGGTTGTAACTCCACTGATATTTTTAAATGCGGAATCTACGACATTACCATAGATATCCAAGGAACTACATCGAAACTGACTTTTAATGTCTATATGTAATGAATGTATTTAAGGTTCTTTATTTGGCGCCTATGCCAGCCAATTAATTGGCTCAAGTCACTAATTGTAATCACTTTTACAAAAAGCTCATCTATGAGAATAACAAACGGCATTTGTTTATAAAAAACAAAAGCAAGTATAGCTAAAAGTCAAGGTCTATTTGAAGTCGATTCTCACAAGAAACGTGCTTAATTAAACGATATGGATTGATGGTCACACGAATTTCCCGTCATTGTAGTAACTCATAATAGCTGAAATTGCGTGCTACGTTTTGACAATACGACCGGTTGGCTAAGCCATTAATAGTAAGCTCCTTTGATCGCCACTGACATGCTAATCAATCAACATTATATGTTTTTGACGTGGCTATCAACCTAAAAGCATGCCTTGTTATCCTATCGGAGATCAATCAATGCAGGTCGCGATTTTTGAATTTACAAATAAGTACAACTTAGTTGTGTTGAAAAAAACATTTTTGTGCTATAACTGCCCCGGTCATGATATTTGTCACAAACAAATATTATATTTTACATAATATGTACAAAGCACACGGTTTATTGAAGTACCTACCTTTAGAGTTTAGACTTTACGTAGGTTTATTTTAAGGTAGTATGTGTTTATTAAAAACGTTTGTACTTAGCTAATGATTTTTGTTGATGGTAATTCTTGTTTCATAAATAAAATAATTTATAAATACATACTTGCAACTCTTTAAAGTTATTTCAGGCTTCCCTGGGGATTAGGCCCAAATTTCTCGAATAGCCGGCTTCTGCAGTACAAATATCGATTGAAATTTAGCTGCATTGGCCCACAAATTGTTATTGATAAGCCTTACAATTCATATTTTGTGCATTAATTACATATTTGCCATATATACTACTAACAAAAATATGTTATGTTCTCCGATTACAATTTGAAATTCCCGCTCAGATCAACAATAGTCAGAACTTGACATTGACAGAATGACGTGAAATGAAATTATGTTATCTAATTTAAATTAATCAGTTGATAAAACAAATGCAATGTGGTTCTTCTAAAAAATACATCATATTAAAATAATCACTTGTTCTAAGATCTTCTGAACTATTTTTTTTATAGAATGGAGGGCAAATCGGAAGAGGCTCACCTGATAAGTGATAACATAGACACTCAAAATTCCAAATGGTTCGCAAATATATCACCGAACTTATATTAACATCTATAAGACAACGTAATTAGTAGATTGAATTAGTTCATGTGTTTCATAGTACACGGCTTCTGAGGACCTCATTGGCAAAACATTTTCTTGTTTATTTAAAAATACATTCAATCCTTTGATAACCTGAGGTGATCGTTTGGACTGAAATTGAAAAATCGACTCTCCTTGTGATATGTTTGAGATTAGCATAGAATTAATATTTGCATTGCCAGTCGGGTTCACTCAGTCTATATGTATGTACCTGACGAGGACCGAATATATTCGATCGAATATATCGATAGACGATTTTCTAATTTCGCTCGGGTGTTTAATACGTCATCTCCCAATATAAACTTGTATCCAATTGAATTGAACAACAATAATATGAAGAATTGTACATGTATGCGAGTGGCGTTGATGTGTATATTACTAAGATAATTACAAATAACTTTTAGTAGAAGGTGAATACTTTTACTAACTGACATAAACAGCTTTTAAATATATATTTTTTCCATTCAAATTGACAATCTCTAATATATGAAAGAAACCCACAAGGATTACATGGAGGAAGGAAGGTGCTACTCTTTCTCTGACCTAAAGGGAGGGACTAAATCCTGACTGGCCTGAAGGACCAGTGGCTAAAGTCGAGAAGTTATTTAAGCTTTTAGCGACCGGAATAACTTTGTCAGAGTGTTTCAGAAGATGTCATTGTAGTGATTGTAGGTGTCACTACAAATATAAGTTAGAAGAAGTCCAAACAATTATATACATTAAACTACACAAAGAATGTAATCGAACATTCGCATTAAATTGTTGCTAACTGTTACATTCATGTATGTTTAGTATCTATATTTTTATTGCAAAGAAACGAGATTTCAAAAAGACAACCATACATTTAAAAGCATTCGACGTTTACATTTTTAATTGCGAAATAGCAATCAAGCTTCTTCGATCTTTTCACTTTATATTTAAGTATCAAAATATATTACAAAAAGTAATATTTCTAGAATTGTATTCAATATATTTACTAACAATAGTATTATTTTGAATAATATCATACATATAATCATATTTTTTTAATTATAGCTAGCTGGAGTTCAGTACATTGCACACCCTCCGCAAACTACAACTACGAGTTCCGCTCCTAGTGGCCGCCGACGATCCGCCCCAAGGCCACTGCTCAGTCGATGTGACCCTGAAGAGTTTTCTGAAGCACCATCTAGAGCAATTAGTAAGGTTTTCTATTCTATATTTGACAATAACAGTACAAAAACATTAAAATCAGTTCCATCTTGAATAAAATCAACAGCAAAAATAAGTCTGAAATTTATATTATTTTTTACTATAAAGGTCGTATTATGTAGTTTAGGAAGAAAATAATTGTTTCTAAGGATTACCGTTAATGCTGCTTGTTTTGATAAACACCGCTTTTCGAATAAACAATTAATTTTAAGCTGACATCGCTCCGATTTCGCAAACTTCACCTTGTCATACACCCGATATTGTTCCCGAAATAATGCTTTTTATTCATTATTATTTTTTCTTCGCTTATTCTTTACTCTTAATGGATTTCCTTTGTGTATTTTCCCTGATCAGAACAGATAATGTATGTTTCAGAGGGATCGTATGATGATAAAATATATTTTTAGACCTTTTTTAATATTTATTACATGAAATGTGTAACGAATATAATTCACCAAATACACCAAACATATATTTCACATTTGGACACCGACGACTCAATAAAAACATTTAATAAAAGGTAAAAGGAAAAGGGTACGTCAAATAAGAAGAGGCTAGCCCAGGACAAACCAGAACGGGCTAAAATAGGGGAGGCGTATGTCAGAGGACATACCTGACCATAAACTGGTTGCTAGAAAAAGTTATCAATTGTTTTTTGTTACCAATTATATGTTAATTGTTTTGTAACCAACGGCCAGAATAAAGACTTTAATTATTGTTAATATACAAAGCGTCCTTTTGCCCTATAATTTTCTTTGATGTTTATCTAATCGATATCTGATCGCGGCTAATAGCACTGCATTAGCATAAGTACTGTCATAAACTAGTTGTATGTTAAAATATCGCGAAAAAATATCTGACGAAAACGAGATAAATTTAAGCCTACCTACCTACCTACGCAATATATATTTATAGTTCAAGAGTAGTGTAATGAGAGAGATTCTTAGAAGTAAATTGCCAATTAATGAGCTATACTTAGAACCTAGTGCTTATTGTGTTTATAAAAATAACGTAGAAAGTGGCATCAATGTAGCAAAACGATTTCGTGGGCCACGCACAGTCAAAAGATGGCGGATGAATTTCTCTCGGAGGGACTGACCCAATATTAGGGTATTATGGGGGAAGTTGTATATTAAATAGATTAACTGTATAAGTATATTGTATACGCAAAATCGGTAGTAGAATATAGTTTATTTATTTTTGTTAGTTTTGGTGCAGTGACACTCATCGAATTTAGATTAAAAATCTATTGAATTTAACATACTCCGTGAGTCATATAAAATGCTACCTTAAAATGTAGCTATGATATATAATATCCTAAAAATAAAACACGTTATAAGGATGTGATTATCATAATTCATCTTTATTCATATAAGCGTAAGTGATGGGGTGATTAAGGGGTTGAGTACACTTTTGTTGCGACGTGTAAGCTAATTTATCGATTGGTCCACATTCCTAGCCGCACTCCAAACCAATTCTGAAATGAATGATCGACTTAAAAATTACTTCATAGCGTTAACATTGCAGTTCCAAACAAAGACCTCTGATAATGTTTTCCGATCATCATCATGAGCCAATCTTCTGGGTCTATCTTAGGACGTTTTTCGTATCCATTTTTCTCCAACGGGCAATGCGCCTTTTGCAGCTGTTTTGTGATGTCATCGCTCCATCTTGTCAGTGTTCTGCCGAGGTCTCCATTCAAAGAGCCTTCGGTTCCATCGAGTCTTGGCCATGTGCGCTATATGGCTCGCCGCCGCCATTGTAGGTCACAATTGATAACATTACGATTGCGGTCGCGAAGGGAGATTCGCAGCATTGAAAGATCATGGCAGATACTCTCGTACCTACCTTACCACTGGTACACTAGTAATTTCTTGATAGTAAATAATTTAAAGTCTGCAGGTTCTGCAAGGCGATTCCGTAAGGAATCGAGACTTAGACATGAGTCCTATCGAATCATACTTAAACACGTTTTTATAGTCGCATTTCTGGTATTGGAATCTCAGGATAAGTGATTTTGAACGAATTTTGAATCAGACTCACTTCATTTAATCTATTGGCCTAAAGCACGTAATCCTGATGAACAGGGTATTAATTAGTGATTATTCATTCAATAATCGAAATTGCATTAATAAAATGATTGCTCCGTAAATCAAATTTAACCGCAATAAAGAAACAAATACTTTACGCATCAATGAGTTCTGGTTTCATTTTGTCACGTTTATTGCAAAGGGATCCGTACTGTTCCTTATTATTTCGTTGTACAACCAAACTTGGCTATGAATAAGAGTACATCTTGCCAGTTATTTTATATAAATAACATCGGAGTAGGTTTTCTAGAGAACGTTGAGTGTCACCGTAACGTCAAATAGCGGTGCTGTCATTTGCATGACGGCCGACATAGCGGTGATAAACAGTAGTTCAACGTTTTTCGCGTGTAGCGGTGCGCATATTTAATTAATACAATGACTTGGACGAGCGAAAATGATGAACAATTAATTGATTTTGTTAAAAATCATGAAGCTTTGTACAATATAAAATCCAAAGAGTACAGACAAGCTCAGATGAAGCAAAATTGGAATAACACTTAAAAAATACGGTCGCACTACTTTCTAGGAAACCACAGCTTGGCCACCGTAAAGACGGCCGTTAGTTAACGGCACCGCTTATCTAGGAAACCGTAGCTGACAGTTTAATTAAACCGGACCATTGAAATAGGGGTTCATTGAATGGGAAAATCATAGAAACCACGCATTAACATTTCTATCTCTTGCTCGCTCTAAACAACTAATTAGGCATGACTCAATAATCAATATATTGTATTATATATGTATATTATTTTCACATATATACACTATACTGTAGTACATCAACTGAGCACTTCTTAAAGCATTTTTTACCGCACACCCCTACCATGTGAAACCAGCTGCCCACTGATTTCCGAACCAATTCGACTTAGAGTCCTTCAAAAAAGAGCGTATCAATTCTTAAAAGGCCGGCAACGCACTTGCGAGCCTTCTGGCAATCAGAGTGTCCATGGGCGGTGGTATCACTTAAGCTTCCTGTCCGTTTGCCTCCTATTACATAAAAAACGCAAATGTTAAATTAATTGTCACAAAAATATTTTTAAAGAGTAGTATTTCTCTTAAAAAAATATATTTTCACAACTTAAGTGTGAAACAATTGTAATGTGTTTTTAATGAATATGTGAAATCTTAATATATATATTTCTTCTGTGCGTGTGTATGTGACTGAACTCCTCCTAAACGACTGGACCGATTTTGATGAAATTTTTTGTGTGTGTTCAAGGGGATCTGGGAATGGTTTAGATTCACAAATCAGCCCGGCAGATGGCACTGCAGTCGGTACTTTCATACTTTGCTTAATATCCTAATCGCTTTAAATATCATGCAGGACAACGTCTGTGGGGTCCACTAGTATTATATGTATTGTTTAAAATAGTTACGTCCTTATAAGGCGAGGAAGAGCTGGTGCTTAATATAATATAATTAAATAGATTATTGTAAATACCCCATTATCTGGCGGATTTAAACACAACCTCGGTCACACACACATATGGGCTACCTAGTTTACTACTAAAATACCCTTTCTAGTCCTTTGTAGCTAAGGCTTATTTATGAAGTAATTAAGAGCGAGACAGAAGAGTAGAAGGGAATCCATCTCGGCGTTGTTTGCTAACGTTCTGGCCAAACATTGTGACGTCGTCCCTCATCAATTTGTCAGTTATTTACCGCTGCTTGAGTTCAATTAACGGATATAAAGGCACTATCCATTGACCAAAATAGAATAATGTGTAAAATACGAATAAATGACCAGCTAATGAGTACATCTTACGCAGTTTTGGAGATGCTTGTGAGACCTAATATGTAGTTACACATTTCATTCACTCACTCACGTGCACACATACACTAACTCATTCTCTAACATGCACCCACACTTGCACTCAGGCGTGTTAAAAACAAAAAGATGTAATGAAATTACATATACTATATTTAATGGAATTTACTATTAGGTTTGTTATCGAAGAGCTGGGAACCCTGACATAGGTATTTTTTTACTTGAAAAGTGTACATTGTAATTAGACCATGAATTGTATCAAAAGAATCACACTTTTTTGTCAAAATAATAATTGGAATTGATTAGAGTCAAACTTAGATCTCAACTATGTCTCTTACTAGGACAAGCCAGTCTCCTTCACCAACTTCCGACTTTTGTTTAATCGTAAGATCATTATTGCGTACACGGAAAGATAAACGGATAAGCCACGATTTCAGGGTTTTAAATGACATTCATAACCACTGAGCTTTCATCCAATAGATTTACATAATAATATCAGACATTTGCATTAAAAAATATGCGGAACTTTTTCGGTAAACTTCAGTGTAATTCTGCGTGGACGTTACGGTCCCAACTTAAATTTGATAAAATTTTGGGCAAAAATTTAAATATTATGTAAATGTTAATACGTTTTCCGCGGTTCCCTGTTAATTAACTTTTTAATATGGGACTGTTATAGCATATATACAATTTTAGCTTATCTCTTGGTTGTGAAGTGTTTGTACCTATGTATTAAATATATATTATTGGATCGCTTATTAGCGATAAAGTCTGTTACACTCAGCGATTTAATAGTCTGTTGATAAACCTTTTAGTTTTCTAATTAGAACTCTCATATCTGGTGGCTTAAATAAACATGTCTATAAAATAGTTAAGGATAAAAATTGCTCTTGCGCTCATTTGGCTTTGATCCGTAGAGCGCACGTATGATCTTTACAGCACAGAGCCAAAAAACTTAATGTCCTCCGAACCAAATCAAAATGTTTATTTATTCATATTGGTTACTATGTACACTTATGAACGTCAATATTTAATAAAGTAAAATCTAAATTTACATTTACTAACTTTTCCAGAACTAAGAAACTTTCCGCAACTCTTTTCAAACGTCAATTTGACATACTGACCCTAAGCTCAAAAATAAAAGCTTGCAGGCTTCACTCAGGCTTACCAAGCTCATCTCTTGAACTTATTCTGAGCTAAAGAAATCTACAAAATAACATTAATACCCTTTAAGAACCGGGATTCTTTTTAGTAACGGTAGTCTTTATTGATAAAATACCTACAAAAAACAATCAAGTTTATATAAAACAACCACTCGTATAAATTACTGATATTCATTAGGATCTTGGGCGTTATATATTGTTTTAATACAATTCTTTATCTGGGTTATTTGAGACACGTAACAAATGTAGGTATATGATTTATGAAAACATTCAGGGCTGAGCGCGTAAATTCTTCACAAATATAACACATGGTTACCTGATTAAGCGTTACATATACTCGTATTATTTTGGCTTACACAACCCTCTTTAGTATTTTCTACTTTAAAACGTTGGCATAAGGTACGTTTTGGCTTGAAGAAAGTCCATATATTATCCTTTGGATTTACTTCGATATTGGAGCGAATGTATGAGAGGGATGTATCTTTTGAGTAGTATTTATGACAAAATCTCACTTTCTAGTTACGGGTAACGTAAAATTCAACAGAAGAACGTCATTGATAGAAATTAATACATATTACTGTTGTTGTTTTTTTTATGGGACAGGAGGCAAACGAGTAAATTTAAACGAATGCTTACCACCGCTTAGGACACCCGTTACACAAGGTTTGCTAGTGCGTTGCCGGAATTTAAGTTAGTGGTACGCTTTTCTCTTGAAAGCTACTAAGTGGTAACGAATCGGTAATTCCTGAGATGGCACCTGGTTCCTTCAAGTGCGAGGGAAGAAGTGGCTTTATTATTATCCTGTAAAATAATATACAGGGCACTAATATTTAATAAAGACACTTTGCAAACAAAGAAGCTTCTATGCAAAACTTATCTCATAAGAGAGTAATCTGTAATACTATCTCTACTGTCCATCGTCAACGACAAAATATTTAATAATCCAATGTTCCTAGCAGTGGCCCCAATGGCAATGACCTGTACGCAATGTCATACACAAAAATAGGCTAAGTAGCTATGTTGATAGATTAGAAAATGACAATTACTCCGATATATGTAATTGATATTAATACTTAGGCATAATGCTTTTGATAAAGCTTTTCGTGTCACGAACCTAATATATTATTCCCTAATTATAATAACACTATCTTTATACATTATTCATTTTCTTCGAAGAAATATTTTATACGAACAATTTCGACTAACAAAAGGTAATATGAAAATTTGTTATCGTAAATCAAAAACAAGGCGTTGTATCAAAAGAAAATTATACATATGTGCTCTCAAATTAGGAATTAATTTACAACATTTTCGGACTGCTTGATTTCATCTCACGACCCAGTTTTCAAAGCAACTGCAGGATCCCTTCAAATTGGGTGACACAGGCCCGCCCGAGCTCTCAATGGGGCGTTCGTTTATTTCCTTAAATTGACGACCTAATTGCTTTGGGCGGTTCGTTTTACTTTCTCTTATTTGAGTAGTATCTTTGATCCACCACTTTTATTTACAGCCAAATTCTGGATACCCATAATTTGCGTAAAACTCGGCCTGCTTTTATCTATTTTTCATTGCGGCCTTGAACTGGCCCGAATACATTTAAAAGTTGCTGAGCATTGAAATTATATCGCAATGATATTCATTCATATGAGTATAAAATGGTAATTTATTGTAATTTTATTTTCGATCGTTACTTTTTGTGACATTTTTTTCTCCGGCAAGCGCTTAAATGACATTCAGTCAATTCTCTAGTGACCTATGAGATATATATTACTGCTAGGTTCAAAGACCTCAACGACTGCTACTGTAATTACGACATTTTTTACAGCTTCTGTGTTGTCAAAGCCATCTCGATCTAACGTCAAGAAGCATGTTCAGTTTCCGGATGAGCAAAGTTGCATTGAAGAAGCACCCGAAACTTCAAATGGGAACGAAGGAAAATCTTGTAAGTGTTTAATTTTTTTAATTAAAAATATTATTACATAATACTTCTAAGTATAACCATCTAAATATAGGTAATATTTTTTTATATTCATTTGTTATATAGTCATAAAAAATAAGATTTATTTAAAATTTCTTTTACCTCGGTCCAAATTTGTTGATAACCAACAAATTTGGTTTCGGTAATCAATATAGTTAAAGGGCATTTTCGTTTGGTTTATATAAATGTACATAACTGCCTACTACAGCATTCTTACATATGCTGAGTACAGTATTATTACTGTTTGTACTTTTTTGTGTCCTGTCCATTAATTTAATAAAAGACTTTGTTCTTAATATTCAAGTAAGCAGAACATTATGCGTATTCTATAGAAGTGCTTTCAATATGTAGAATATATTATGGTGCATTTTTAAACAGCGATCTATCACGTACTCGTAGCTAATATACACCGTAGCAATACAGATTATTCATAGTTGATGATAAAGTAGAAGTTGCGTGCTCCCTAATGTAGTCAGATATTAATTAAGAGGCGCTACGACCCCTAATAATGTCCTAAGGTTTTAAGAGTTTCATGGGTAATTTTTTTTATAAGAAAATAGGTAACCCTCAATCACTGATTTTCTCTCCGGGATTAAAAGTTGCATGATTACTGCAATATTATTCCACTATTTTAAAATAGTAGTTGTTTCTGAAACGTTAATAATTAGAATAGGAGACAAAATGCAAAGGTCCTAACTTTTCACATCACACATAGATATACGTTGCTTTTAAGATCTGTTTTCTTGATACCTTTAGCAGTAGTTGTGCAAAAGTGTATTTACACGTGCATTAAATAAGGCTGTATTTCGATTGCCATACAATAAGAATGCCTTTGTTTCACAAGAATAATTGAACTTGAATGTTAAGAACTAATATTGAGCTTGAATTGTGCAGAGATTTTTCTAGCTTTTCGCTAACAATTTACCGCTAGTCCAGTCTTGTTAATAATATATATACTTAACATTAAATGTTAGAACGTTAGTTTTACATATGATAAAAAATTAGACAAAGTCTATCTATTCAAAAGGGGGAACGCTGCCAGTATCTTCGGAACCTTGCCTAAAGGGACTCCTTTTAATAACATTTTATTTTAAGGTTTTTAGAAGAGAATTGTTAGTAATGTTCTTATTACGTATATAACTAACCAATTGTTAAAAGAAAAAACTGTTTGACCGTATTGAAGTTATGTATTATTATAAATTTACAACTATTTAACATAATTTTAAATTTATCCGACGTAACGCGTGCTTTACAGCGTGCGTGGTCACGGTGACTGAAGACAAAAGATGTTGGATGTCAAAAAGTATCACAGCTGTAGAGAAAGTTGCCTTATCTGTATTTATTACCCCGGAGTTGGTATCGACTAAAAGATGGAGGGTTTTGGCAAAAATGGCTCACGGTGTCCTCTTTTTTTTTCCGCGAAAACAATCCGCAAAAAAAGAGGAAACGTCGGATAAATTTAAAATTATGTTAAATAGTTGTAAATTTATAATAATACATAACTTCAATCCGGTCAAACAGTTTTTTCTTTAAATGTGTAAAGGTTATGTAAATCAAAGACAATACTATAACCAATTGTTGTATGGATTGATTAATAAAGCTTTAATAATAATTAATGATATGATAAACAATAAATGTTCAGTATAGACGGAAAACTTGATATTAAGCCATTAACCACCTAATGACATTTGCACTTCCAGGCTTGAACATTGAAGCCTTTAAAAATATTTTAAGTATCACAAACATCCCTTATAAACCACTTGTAACAACGCTTTGTGGTTTTGGCTTTAGATTTTCCATCTATTTCAATAATCATTTTTCTTCATGGGCAAGTAGCCTTGGTCTGACGCACGTTTTCGATCGGTCGAAGGAGACCACTCCTCACGATAATTTCCTTCGCCAAACAAATTCCTGCCAGAGTTCTAACGCATGACATGTTTTTAAGAATTTTACGTTCAACCAACGATGTTTAAACATCACTTTTATAGTCAAGAGAAAATCTTAACTCGTCATCTGTGGTTGAGGGGATTTTTCATTGTTATTTTAAAATTGTATTTATATAATATTACTAGCTAACCCGGCAAACGGTTGTTGTGTTGCCATGTATATTATTTCTAGGAAAAAAATATTTAGTTCAATAAAAATAACTATCTACAATAATAAAAAATAGGGGTTGACCTTAGAGGGGCGAAAATTAGGGGTTGTATTTTTGTATCATAAAAAAATAAAAACATAAAAAAACTATAAAATAAAACAACAATTTTTGGGCCGGACCACCCTTAACATTGTTACACGAGAATTTTATATATATAGAGATTATAATTTATTTTCTTGATTATAGAACCTTACATCAAAGATGAAGCTGGGATAACATTAACACTTGGCGTTGAATATGAAGCGAACGTACCGTTTTGTTCATAACTGCTTTAAAACTTATGTATCAATTTAGTAGTGGACTCGGTTACGATGTAACAACTGGCTTAAAACGAAGTTGTTACTTTGCTTAAAACAGTTACAAAGTTCAAACTTTCATACTGATATTTTTGCTTGTTTTTAATATGCCTGTATATGTTGTATGTGGTAACCGATCGTTGATTAAATGTGCGCAGCTATTGGATTTGACTTAAATGATTCGTTTAGGCACAGAAAAGATCAAAAAGGAAGTGGTCATTAAAACAAAAGACAGAAATATGCCTGATATACGATAATAATGAGACATTAAATTTTCTTAATTAGCGGTGTAATGTTCATATTAAGTGGAATAAATGACTAGTCGATGTTTAAAGAGCATCTCTATGGCCTTAATTAAATAAACCTTGTCAACAGCGTCCCGCGTGATCAGCTCGTTGTGGATGGAGCTGGAGACAGAAGCTCCACCACCGGAACGCTGACGACGTCGAAGCGAGCAGTACTACCGGCCAGTTTCGCGCGCCCGAAATGAGCGTCGCAAAATGTCCGTCGCCGGAGTACCGCCCGCTACGCCGGAAATTCAAGACTCATCATTGTAAACAATAACCAGTGAATACTAACCGTAATCTAACGTTTCACTGGCCGTTTTGTACCCAATTAAAACAAGTCAGTCATCGTCAGTCATTAAGACAGTCTACTAGGAGTTACTAATGTAATGATTTAAGTGAAAATTACCTTATACCACGTTTCTATTATTCTGAATGTGAATAAAATTGTAGATGAAGTTACTCAAATATTTTAAGCACATGCAAATATATAACATAGGGTATCAACAAACGCAGGCGCCATAAACAGGTATTATTAATTAAGTAGGTAGGCCCACAATGTAAATCGTAAGATGAAACAACGGGTACACGCTTAGTTATTGGTATATACATTTCAATCATATTCACTACACAGTCGTTTGCCCAATCACAATCGAGCGAAACATGATCTGGTTTCGTCTTTTGTTTTACATTAACACCTCAGGATATTTAAATAAGTGTTCTTATTTTGTATATAATATAGTTTATTGTTCTTGTAAATACAGTTTCAAATAAATTGTGTGTTTCATTAAATAGCTTACAAATTCTTTAACGTTTAATCTTACCTGTACTTATAGCAAGATGATTTCCTTATCCAAGATGGAAATCAATTTCCGCACAAGACAACAGTTTCCTCATTAAAATAGTTCGTGATAAAGTATCATATATTTTCGCTGTCATTTACACAATATATATAGAGTAAGTTTAGTAAGTCTCCTATTGCGGCATTTGCTTTTTGTTACATCAAATAATAGCTATGAGAGTAGGAAAATATATAAATATAACATATAAGAGACAGGAAATGATAATAATCGATACATACATTAGACAATAGATATATGTTTAATATGTTTAAACTACTGCTGATACAATAAGAAGTCACATCACTTAACACATGGACAGATAGATTACGGACGGTGATGAAAGTTTTAATATTAAACATTGTTTTTTTAATTTTCGTCAACGCTAATGAACTTAAGAACTAAAGAGATCTTTATGATAATGTTGATGGGCGCATTTTTTATCCATTATGCGTATGACCGCTGTCGCTGAGACCCAAAGTCAGCTTTGGTGTCTGAAACTCGCGAACACCACCTTTGCCGATCACCATTCGACAACTTGGAATAAGTATGATTATAATAAACTTGATCGGAATATTAGATTTACAGAGTAGAGGTTCTGGGAGGGAACATAACTCTCTAAGATATTCTTTTAGTTGCTTATGTTAAATTTGTACTCTATAGTTCTCAACAAATTACTTAAATACATTTAAACCTCTTCATTGCTACACGAGTATTAATAAAACTTCTTTAATTGACTGATTGAATTAATTACATTAAACATAATTCATGTTTGGAGTGCCTTTACATTAATTACTCCAATTATATCATATATTTTAGAAGCTTGCTTAATCAGAATAAGATGTAAATTTTGATTTTCTCTAGCAATAAATTCTTATCAGGTAACTTTTTAAATCATTGCCCATCTAACGCAAATTATAAACTCCTTGATTTTTCTATAGATTTCAAAGTAAGAATCGTATTTTCATGGATTTTATGAGACAAAAGGAAGTTTGAGACTGTTTATGACAAAGTTAATGTTTAAAAAGTAGAGCAGTGTTGGCCTAGTGGCTTCACCGTGCGACTCTTATCCCTAAGGTCGTAGGTAATAAAAATAATAATAATAATAATTTTGATTAATCAGACAAATACAGTCCATTGATTGATTAGTGAGTTAGTAACAATAGTTTCTTAAGATCTATGTTAGTAGAATTAGTAAAAATAAGGAAAGTAGTTAAATAAAAACTATCAGGTACAAAGCCCTGCGGAGATGTCGGAGCAGTGTCGTAAATAGGGGCACTCCATTCTCTCGACTCCATAAGATGTTGCTGGAGCTGCCCCGCACCCGGCGCACCAAAGACGCGCACCGCTTTCGCATAGTGGCCAAAAAGCAATCCACCCGCGCCTCTGCAAACATTCCTGATGCGCTGCAGAAGCGAGGCAACCCCAGCAACACCCTAAATGCGTTATTATACTGCACCCGAAACGAGTTGTATGTTTGTCGAGTGAAACTGGCCCATAGGCTGCACGTGTAGAAGTTAGTGCAATATGCTCTGAATAATATGACTTTTACGTTATTAGAACAACGTACAAACCTACGAGCCAGCACATTTGCTCTCACCGACAACGCTCTTCGTTGTCTCTCTATATCGCCATTATCTTTGAGGTCGGGTAGTAGGACGTGCCCAAGGTATTTAAACTTACTAACTCGCTGTAAAACACAGTTGTTAATAGTAACCGTCGGTACATTTTGTAGTCTCCTCTTCCCTGACTCAAACACCATCACTTGGCTTTTCTTGGCATTATAGATAAGACCATGGGATGCAGCATATTTTTCACAAATAGCAATAATAATGGACTTTCTTTCTATGTGCGCATTTAACATTCGCTTGAACGATGAAATAAAACATCGTGAGCAAACCGACATGTTTAGACCCAAAAAGTCAACGGCGTGTGTCACAGGAAGCTAATCACCTACATGCCTATTAAATTGAAAAATTATCATGAAACATATTCAGAAATCTGAGGCCCAGACCTAAAGAGGTTGTACCGCCACTGATTTTTTTATATTTAAAAGACTGGTCTAGCCTACTCGCAGTTTAGGTTGAAGAAATAAAACAATAAATTGTAAATAAGGGATTATAATCTTACTATAGGGGATACAATTCACGTTAGTGAAATTCGGTTTAACAAATATACTGTACTATGTTAATCGTTAAACATACAGTAATGGAATAACAAAATACATAAAATATATACCATAATGTCAAATTTCTATAATTTTCGAGGTTTAGTATTCGTTTTAACAGTTTGTGCATAGCTTTCACAATTAAATTGCGTTACAATTATGAATATAACAATCTTTAAGATTACGTTAATAAATAATCCATACAATTTAAGCGCTAATATTTAGTACAAAGCTTAATAAGTTGCACTGGTACTATGCAACTTCCAATTGGTATGCAATTTACATACACTTCATATTCGTAGCGCGAATATGTAACAAGCGGGGATTAGTTACAGAATACCGGCGCTTATTTTAAACATCCAGTAAACGATTATATATTGAAGCCTTGAGACATCTGTACAGGTCTTTTATGAAAATGGTGCTATCTGTCTGTCAAAAACATTAAAAAAACCATATTAATCTGCAACAATTTTTTTAAGTAATATCTAAATAGTTTTTTTCTAAAAACTTCTCAATTAAGCCCTTTAAAAACTACATCTCTTTGCATCAGATCGTAAAAAAAATACAGAAAGAGACTTAGTAATATCAGAAGTATCACCATTATCAAATTACATAGATTTTAACATTTGCGCATATAGTCTTAGTAATGAAAATTTATTACAAAATTTAACCATCCAGTAAATTACTTACATTAAAAGCCTCAGCTGTGACAAATTTGGTTTAAACATTGTTAAAGCATCATGTACATTGCGTGGTATTTTCAATTAGCATTTCTCGAATAATCGAAAACTATGGCGTATAACTCAAACTCGGCAACTTTCCATTATTTCCTCGCGAGACATCAATTGACGCAAATGAAAGCATTTCGGCTCTCATTTACGGTTTTAATATCCTACTCACAAACGTACTATAAGGCTAAATACGTAATTAATGAGGAATAAGGACAAAGCGTCCAATAGCTAATTGATTATGGTGTAATAAGGCTTCAATTCAAATAACGCAAGACGTTATTTGAAACCTTTTAAGTCTCTAGAACAAGATTAAATTTTCAGTCTTTGAACAAGGAGATCCACTGTCGGGAATTGCGCATTCTAGAGAGCATCTTCCGTTTACAAATCTGTGATGATCTAGCCTAGACACGGTGTAAAATTAAACATTCTTAGACGATATAATTTTGTTTAAGTACAAGAAGGAAAAACAAAACAATCACAGGGTAGTATATAACATATCGTGACCTCTCCTGTCCACCTACAGCCGAAATAAATAATCTTTATACTTGACTTTAAAAGTAAGCATATTCAGAATTCCGAGCGGAGGGAGGTTGCTCCAAAATGTTGTTTCACTGTACCTAAAACTCGCTCTGAAAGCCGCCGTCTTATAAGCAATGCTCGTCATATGTTGCAAGCCAGGACTTCTATGTTACATTTACCTCGGAGGCCAAGAAAACTTATCCGAGAGGTATCGTGGCTTTTTGTTTGAACAACCCCAAAAGGCAAAGTCGCGAAATGTAAACGCCTTATATTCTCCATTTTGGCCTGGTTAATCAATAATTAGACTCACATAAAGCTATAAGAGACTAAAGCATGAAAGCAGGACTCTCTCTACATGGACAAATAAAACTATTAACAGACTGCAAACTGGGACATTTCCTTCGGATTAAACACTAAAGAAATTAACAGAATAATAGTAAGTCTATTGATTTAAGCATAACGTTAAAAACAAAAGCGTTCAACACTTGCGTCCTTCCAGACACTATGAATGTGAATCATGGGCACTCGCCCGTATAGAACCGTGACGAGAAAAGAGAATTATCAAGGGCCAGTATATACTCATAACCATTTTCATTATTTACTTTTAAAATAGCCTTTGGGTACTTTGAAGTGGCGTATTAGATTTATAAAAAATCTGTCTAAACGCGTTATAATTAGAGGTTAATTTCATTTGCCAATATCGAAAGAAGCCTTTATAAAGAAATCTAAAGTCGGAATAAAACGGCTGAAGCCGACAAGCTACTTGATTAGTCACCTATTAGAAATATATCTGCCGTTCTTGCTTCATCATAATGAAGTCCTTTTTTCGACAGATACTTAGGATATCGTCATTTATGTACGCTATAGTTTTCGTATGTTCGACAAGTGATGTAGTAATACTCTGGACAAAAGTGTTCTAATAGCAAATACAATTAAAGATTAGGGAAAACCTTTTCTTTTTCAATAAATTTTCATCGTCATTTCGCGGATTTCTTCCCAAATCTTATTGATGAAATTATCCCTTGCTAGACTTGCTTAAAAGTTGACTAAAAAGCATAACGAATTTGGGTGTGATGTTGGGAAACAATTTCTGTTTTGGCATTCTGTTAACTTCTAAAATCTAACAAATAACCTAACTAACCGTGCTAATAATATTAACATTTTACATGAAAAGACATCGTACTGCCTTTGGGTTAAGAAAGCGAATATACGTTTGAAACAAACAGTTGAAATAAACCGTACATTAGAGACTGCTTTCCAATCTATTTAGTTTGTCCACTAACAAATTTCCGCTTATTATGAGTTCGTTAAAATATCATATAACATGTGTTAAAAGTTTGTATAAAGAATGTTACAACGCTGTGGTAACTGAACTAATAAGATATTTAAATATAAAAATAATTGTCATAATAGTCAGTCAATAGCTACATATATTCACAAAGCAAAAAGAGCTTTTAATATGTTTAATAAAAGCACATACATGTTTGTTCGTTATATTTCAATGAGTTCGCTGCCATAAAATCTAAATCACCCGATTGCTCTGTTTTAACTGCGCACCTATACGTCTCCTCCTAATTGATTGTGATTATGCTGTGAGGAAAAGAGACACCCTTATTTAAAACAGTGTAATGTGATTTAGTTTTTAAGGATGAGTCTATAAGCGATCACATTGGAATGATATGATGACTTTAAAATCTTAAAACTAATGTTCGGTCAAAAATAATATATAAATTAAACGTTAAAATATCTTTTTTGAGCCGTTACGTTTATCGATACACACATAATATAACCCAATTGAATTCCCATAACAAATAAATCAAAACGCTTTATTAGACATTTTTAATTGATCACGAAAAATACCTATCTCGTATACACATAATCTTAAAATTATTAGGCATTACATAAAATAAAACATAATTTAACGATATTAAAGCAAGCATGTTTAATACGACGGCTAAAATGCGTCCAATTCGAGTAAAATATATTTAGTTTTGGGAGTAAGTTGCATCCCAACAACACGATGTCCTCATATGAATTAAGACTTCACGGCTTAGTAGGGTTAAACCAAAAATTATCTTAATTCAAAGTGAATAAGTTAATAACATAAACTTAACTAAAGAGTCTTTGCGACTTATTTGTGCACACAGATCGATAAAATCATTCATCATAAATCACAACAGGCCGTAATTAAAGCATCATTAAATTAAACTTAATGTTAAAATACTTAAACATTTTACTATGAGAATGAAAATGTATGTTACTAAAATCGCAAATATTGGCATTAATGTGATATAAAATTTAAATACAATATAATTCGTCATAAATACTGTAAACATTTCAAACAGAATCATTTTATTTACTAGCCAATTTCGATAGTCACTTTTTAATTATATTATAATAATTTTTCACCCGTTCTGGGTTAATAAAACGTCAATTATATGTGTTAAAATTTAAAATTTGTTCCACTAGACTATATAGTTCCCGGAGAATTATTTGTAAAGATGTGGTACTACGCGAAGTTCATTCGCCATCTTCCGAAGTTACGTGCCGGGACTTAAAAAATTTACATTATAGAAATTGGCCGTTCCTTACCGAGGTTTATATGGGTGGTATAGTCCATAGTACTGCAGTCTTATCAGCAGACGTCGAGAGGAATGAGAAGTCGTCTGGGTGCCATCTTGCTGATATCACCTTATCCGGATGACGCGCTATGGGGACGCTCGACAGCGCGCAGGTAAGATCACCTGCGGAGAAAATTATCAATAATACTTCATACTATTTACTTAAATTACAAAAATATTATATAATACATCGTCACTTCTTTACAGCGGCTTGGGTAGTGAGATTTATTGTGTCCCATCTTGAGGAACTGGGTTCCATTATCAGCAACAACAAGTATTTTAGTTTGATGGAAATTTTTATTAATAATTAGGGTAAAATAATTACGAAAGTTGATAATTAACTAAACAAACTATTGTATGTCAACAATCAAACGTAGAAATCAGGCTGATCGCAATCAATACTTAGGTGCCACTTAACCCAAGAATATAAAATAGTTTAAGTAACAATGTCTCTTTTATAAAATATAAAGTGCTAATTACTAACAGTTATTTTTATCAAAATACGCTTTGAGTCGTTAATTTTTTATAAAAGTGCAAAGTTAGATACACTATGAAAATAGACTCCGGCCGTAAAAATAATGTTTCGAACTAAAAAGTATTGATATACTACATAATAATACTTATAACTAATAATAATTCTCGAATCTAATTCAACCTTAATATAAAAACAAGCTGACCGGCAAACTTTGTTTTGCCATGTATATTATTTCTAGGAAACATTTTTTTAAAGAAAAAACTTTTTAACCGGATTAAAGTTATGTATTATTATAAACATTTTTTTAGTTCACTAAAAATATCTATCTACTAAAATAAAAAATAGGGGTTGATCGTAGAGGGGCGAAGATTAAGGGTTGTATGAATTTTGTATGCTGTATCATAAAAAAATAAAAATGTAGGACTGGACCACCCTAACCATTTACGGGGATGAAAACTAAATGGTGTCCGATTCGCAGACCTAACCGATATATGCATTCTGTCACAACCCTTTTGTCATAAATAAAGTTTTTATTATTATTAGGGAGCGTTCAAGTATTACGAAACAAATTTTGGAGGGGGGAGAGGTCCTTTTGTAAAACGTTACGATGCGGGGCGGGGATTGAATTACGCGTTATTGTTACTATTATTCGACTTTCCAGTACTTTACAAAACGTAATGGTAACTTTTAGGTATAAAGAATTACTAGGTGGTCACGAAACGTTTTACTATACTTGGTTACAGAAAAACGTTACGGCGCGTTACATCGGGGGAGGGGGGGTCAATAATCTCCAAAAATTGCGTGACGTAATACTTGAACGCTCCCTTAGGAGAAATTTAAATATTAGATAATTGTAACGACAAGGTCAAATGTCTATAAAACCTAATACAACAAATATCAAGCTATTTGCTAAAGTACCCCTTCTAAGCCTCACTAACGCGTATCATTTACCCAAGTGTATATTTCCATACATAATACGCTCTAGACACGAGCGCAGTTAAATTGGGCAGTCACCTCTATAACCTAAATGTTAATTAAACTTGCACCAAAATACAATTATTCAAAAAATTTTCACTTATAATTACGGTGTCTATAAATAAGACTTTTTAAAGTCATATGATTAAAGTTTCAGCTCGCACGAGGATTCTAAATCCGAAAACAATTCAAAAACCAAACGACTTCGACAGTCCAGTGCATTTTTTACATAAAAGAGGTAAGAGTTAAGTTTCGACATTAAATCATTCCCTAAGCCTCTCCAAGGGCGGTTACCAAGCAACTTATTGCATGAGCCCAGGCATATGGAACGTCCAGGATTTTTCTGCTCTCCTACACATAAATGTCTTAACCGAAAAGTGGCGTACCTATGATGTGAAACCGACCGACCAAATTGCTGTAATTATAATATGCACCCAGACCGAAAAACGAACACGACGCCTTGGCCTCTACCTCATGAAATCTTAGCCAAGATCGACGTTTATCTATAATATTGTTTGTTAACCGAACGGCTCAGGCAGGATTGATTTCCTTACCAGGGATATAACTGAATTTATCTCTAACCAATACATTTAGTAATATAAATTTTGTAGCCAAGATCTGATGAATATAGCTGATCATTTAAACTAGCCCTATACAGCTGACTGGATTATTTGCATGTTTCAGACCGATAAAATACATCTATTATCTATTCAATCCAGACTTAATTATACTACTTTTTTATAATTGTAAATATATTATTTTTATTGTATTAGATCCAAGCATTGTGTTTTTAAATTTATATATTGATTTTGTAATTGAATAAGTCGACATTGTTATCTGTAATTTTGTTTTTGGTAATTTAGTTATGCATTTTAATATAAAATAAATCAGTGACGCTACAACCTATTTAGGTCATGGCCTCAGATTTCTGTATCTGTTTCATGATCATTTGTCAATCAAATAAGCAAGTAGGTGATCAGCTTCCTGTGCCTGACACACGCCGTCAACTTTTTGGGTCTAAGGCAAGCCGGTTTCCTCACGATGTTTTCCTTTACCGTTCGAGCGAATGTTAAATGCGCACACATAAATAAAGTCCATTGTTGCACAGCCGAGGATCGAACCCACTACCTCAACTACTTTTTGCATGTATAAACTACATGCTACAACTATAAACGATGTTAAATAAATCATATACTTTTGCGTTTACAGTATTCGTATTAATTTGGCAAAGTTGTTTATATCGGTTTCACTTATCATTTTCATCAGCTATATAAATATTATTAAAAAAAAATCGCTAAAAGAGGCAACATTGTAATACTAAAGTGGACCAAAGACAGTGCTGTCTATGCATCTCGCGTAATTAAATTTTGTAAACACAAAATTAAAAAGAATTTTAGTATTTCAATTGTTAAGTAAAGAAATAGCAATCAGCACACACGCAAGGTTATCTTTGTAAAAGGCTATTTATCGTTAACGTTTGAGATATAAAAATATTCACATGCTATGAAAATCTCCAATATCTTCTTTTCAATAACAATAAAGTACTAACATAATAACGTTATTAGACAAACTAAAAAGTACCTAGTCGATATTAAGTATAGAATAAATAAAGCTTAATGTAAATGAAATCGAGTGGAACAAAATATTCTATTCAACACGTAAATCTTCGCAATGGATTTGCTTTGAATTTGTCGAACTAAGACAATAAAGATATAGTAAAGTAATTGAAAGAGATTCAAATTTGCGATCAAGTCGCTGTACGCTTCGTATACACGACAGGTGGTAAATTATTCGTGCGAATACAGTTTACAATTGAGAAGTGATTATAAAATTTGCGCGAGTCACAATAGAAAATAACCGAATTGGTTGAAATGTAATTTTTTTTTATTTTTTTAAAGACAATTCACACCAATTGACCTAGTCCCATGCTAAGCTGGTGAAGCTTGTGTTATGGGTACTAGGCAACGGATATACATACATATTATAGATAGATAGACATATAAATACTTATTTAAACACCCAAGACCTAAGCACAACACCAAATGCTCATCACATCGATGTTCGTCTCAGCCGGGGATCGAACCCGGGACCCATGGATTCGCAGTCAGGGGTACTAACCACTAGACCAATGAGTCGTCATTATTATTAATTCCCTCGTCATATTACAACCTAAAAGTATATCCTTTATTTGCCACTTCATATTGCAATTGACATGTTTATATTCTGCAAATGATGGGCCCATAATAGGACTATAGAGGTCCTGTGGTAACATGTCACCAGCCTTACATCGCGGATAGAAACTATACAAAGTGATGACTACGACTACACTACAGTATCGACCAAATAAAATAAACAATATAAAACTAAAGCATGAATGCTTATGGGTGTGCGAGTAAAGTGTGTGTGTGAAGAAATTTAAATTAATCATCATCACTAAAGTATCAGAATCAAGTAAAAAGTATAAAATTTTGAACTTACGAAAGCTTTTTTGTTTACAACTCTAAGCTTTTAACTCTTTCAACTCCTTTTCATTTTGATTAACGTAATGTACAACATGTAGTTGCACCAACAATCTTTATAAAATTGTTGGTACAAATTGCTATTTTACCAAATTAATGACTACTATATGCCATCACAAGCATAAGTTTTGCTAAAAGGGAGGTCTAAAGAACTAGTTACAATATTAAAATCAGTTGTATGTCTGTTTAGGTAAGAAATAATATATTTGTAATAGATGTTTTATTACTTATGATTAGTTTTGGAGTAGTGGTGTCTCTATCTGACTCTCAAATATGAGGTCTTGAGGTCTGGGTTTTAATCCCCGCTGGGCACTAATGGCTACTGAATAAGAATCATCATCAAATCTATACGATGATTAAGGTACACACACACAATCGAAATTTATAAAGCTATAACTGATCACCTATATAAAAATATATTAAAGAAACAGATGCAATCTTATGCCAAGACCTACATGGGGTTGTATCATCATTGATTTATCAATTGTAGCGTGATAAATAGATATATATATATTAAGAATATCGTCGGAGACGAACATATATATACATACGGATTTCGTGTTTGTGAACAAAGGTTCAATGATATCAGACAATTTAAACATTAATTGTCTAGAGCCCGACAGCTACATTTACTCAAAGCCACAATTTGATTTCTCACCAATTGACACGCCATAAATTACATTGATGGATTGGAGATTGATTGGGTACAAAACGATATTTGCATACGATGATTTGCGTGTTGACGCATATTATTGAGAAATTTAGTATAACGTGTGTAGCATTGAAAACTTTATGCAAGAAATTTTCATTTAAATCCTAGACCAATAAATATATATAATAAACCAAAGACGAATGTAGTAAATAAATGGAAAAATATAGCGTAGATATTTCACAAATAAAAATAATGTACAGTTGTATTAAACAGAACAATTGCAGTATCGTTCACAACAATAGCAGTAATACATTACCAGCACTAAATCAAATCTAACCAACAAATAGTAAAGGACAAGCGACAAGGTGCATTATTATAATAGCATCACTGCTTACTTAGTATCTTAACAGTTGTACAAACGAAATATTCTACATGATAATAGTCAATACAGCAACGATAATTTTACAGAAATCATCAAAAAGAATAGCTTTTATGATTATTCCACTCTTGAGATGTATAATCCAACATCCATCCATCCAACACCAATTAAGAAAAAATAAATCAGTGGCCCTACAACCTCTTTGGGTCTTGGCCTCAGATTTCTGAATCTGTTTCATGATCATTTGGTACTCTAATAGGCAAGTAATCAGCCTTCTGTGCCTGACGCACGCCGTTGACTTTTTGGGGTTATGGCAAGCCGGTTTCCTCACGATGTTTTCCTTCACCGTTCGAGCGAATGGTAAATGAGCACATAGAAAGAAAGTCCATTGGTGATCAGCCGGGGATCGAACCTACGACCTCAGGTATGAGAGTCGTTGTTATATCATGTCGTTATCATACACGTTAGCTCTATCTAGTTCATAATGTTACTTGACATTAAATAAATATTCAACGTGGAGTTCGGGGATAAATTTAGTTGCTTTGTCACATATTTTATGTACTATGTTAGTTAGTGTTTGCAAATTGATTTTTGTTTATTCTCTTCAATAATTTATTTATTATTTCAATTGTTAAAATTTTTGTATTGTTCAGTGTATAGTTGTCACTCCATTATAGTATGGGTCCACTGAAGTCAGTTGGCCCATTTTTGATTTAAGTGATTGTGTTTGTATAATATAAAATGTTGTAATCTTAGCCCAACTTTTAAAGTTTATTTCATAAAAAAGAATCAGAAATGCTGTGGATATAGCCCTAAAAAGACATCTTATATGAGTAAAGAATAGCGCTCTAAAGCTTATACATAGACTAAAAAAGATTAACTACTCACCCTGTAAGTCTGTAAGCACAACTCGGCCATCATATCCCGCAGTGAGGAGATAATACGCCCCAGGTGAAAAACGTACACTTCTGACATCACTCGAGTGAGGCGTGAAACGCTGTAGGGAACGCGAGCCACGTACGTCGTGCAATGCGCACGAGCCATCGTCGTGACCGCACACAAGGAGCCTGCCACTCGGATCCACTGCTAGTGATGCTACAGCAGAACCCTGGTAAGTAAAAAATCGTTTATTTCAAGATATATTATTGAACGCATAATGGAAACGCATCTGTTTAGAAATCGTACATTGCGTTTATATTTAAAAGCCTTAACGCTATACGAGTTGAGACCTGTGTGTGAGACACATGTTTAACAAAGTTTTTAACACTAAAGTGCAAAACATCGGCGTCAAACATATATTAAACCAATGTTTCCTAATATGCCAAACTCGCGCTAGGCCATCGCTTTGAACATGAATGAATTCAAAGAAGGTAAAAGTGTGTGTGCGTGTTCAACATGTATTAAAAAACTATGCCAAAGACTGGTGTGACAACCAACTGGGCAGCAATCACTTAATGCGACAGAATTAAAACCAGAAATATTTTGGCGAGAAGTTGTGCAGTTTTTAATTATTATAAAAAATGCACTTATTATATAAATAAACAACAGACGTTATTCTTCTGTTATTCATCAGTATTTATTGTTAGTAAACACGGCTAAGCTCTGTAAATAACAACAGACTATAATAAAAATAGCTATTGATGTCGGCTTTAACACGAATAAACATTCTAGAATACTAATAAAATTGTTTATACAGAAAAATTGCGCATCCCTTTGCGCTTTCAAACTATTTCTTTGGAAAACGCCAAACTTGCGGCTAATAACTTAATTGTATCGAGAATGTATTGGACACTGTCAAAAAGTTTCTTCTCAATTACATACAGCGTTCATTTGTTTATTTTAATTGATTTACTGATAATTGTAAGAATTGGACGGCGTCTTAATTTGCTTATTGTATTTGGCGATTTCTTCTCACCGAACCACACATAACACAGATAAAATTGTTTTCGCTTATTTGGTAAGCAAAATGAGTAAACAATACTTTACTAGTATAGTATACATACTTTGCCAGGGTGTCCCATCGGTGGTGATATTACGTTGACGCAGCCACCTGTACGTAGATCCCAGAATCTGACAGTTTTATCCTGACTGCCTGATACGAACATCGCACCTCCCCAGTTATACAGAGAGAGTACATGTCCCGAATGACCACTCAGTGCCTAAAGACAATACATATATAGTTTATTTACTAGGTCCGAACTTCGTTAGTTGCATTTAAGAAAAGCAAATATTTAATCTAAACTTAGATGCGGAATTTAATAGGAAAGCGTCTCTGTTATTCTAGACGAAATTATAAAGGAAAGATTTGATTGTTTGATGAATGTAGAATGTTAAAAAAAGTTAGAAATCCGTATGAACACTTCGATAATGTAACCCAAGATGTGAAAAAAATACCAATGAAAATATATATATCGCGTACGCTGCGGAAACTATTGACAATAGACTATAAAGAAGACTGGCGGAGAGTTTATTGCCAGTTACTCTCTTCCGTTCTACGCCCTTGATTTGAGAACTGGCAGTAAATGTAAAATTAGAAGCATTTAATATATATTTATTTTAAGTGTACAATGTTACCTACATGATTTTTGACTTTTTGGCTTTTGAATGTTATGTACTGCAGATTTATAAAAGACATCAATATCTACGTTAAGATACGTATTTTAACAATATCAGCCGAAGGAAGACAGGTCTGAACACTATAATACTATATTATAAGACAATTTTATGTCGTATTGTATATACGTTGTTTTGGATTTATTAAGCTTCAATTAGTTCAATAACATTTGGTCACGTCTCTTCCAAAGACGAGGGTGATAAGGGCGAAATATTCAATAGCTATTAGAATAATGCAATAAATACTTTATGCAATTTTCAATTACAGGCTGTATTAAGCTGCCAAGATTTATTCAAATAAGCTAATTACGAATCAGTTAAAACGTGTATCTGCTCCGAGTGTTTTTGCGTGGAAAATAAACACAGGCGCTAACTTTTTTAAATTTGATTGGAATGCATTTGATTAACCAAACTCTCCCTCATGCTATAATGATACTAGAATAAACTATTTTAACAGCTTTCAAACTAATAAATGTCTCGAATGCCATAACGCGCTTGCATACAAGGTATAGTTCACAGTTTACGTGTATACTTCAAATTCTTCGTTAAATTTGCTATTTCGTTAATCAAATAATACAGGAATGGTTTCGTTTAAAAGCACGACATAAAGCGCCAATTTCTTTAACAGTATAATACGGTAGAAAACTGATTTTGACTAGTTTAACAAAAACGCTTTTTTATGAGAAATATTTCGTTTTCTATTGTGTTTTGAGTCTCTTCTATTGACTTATGGCGTATGAAAAACGTACCTGGAATGGTTTCCCTGTAGCGCAGTCGGTGACATAGATCTTACAATCGCCGGCACCTCCACTCACGAGAAGACTGGCTTTGTTCGAGGTATCTTCTATGAAGCAAACGTCGCGAACTGTGCCATCGTGCATGGTTAGTTCAACCTGTTAAAAAACATATCATTTAATAAGAAAAATCGTTAAAAGTTAGAAAATTATTCGACATGACCGACCACCCAAAATGATTGCATTTATATAATTTTTCTACAAAGCATTATGAGGGTACAAATTGGCGCAAAATTATCAACGCTTTGAAGTGTCTTCTAACGGAAAGAACAATTAAGAAAATCACACAAAACTCAAAAACTTTTTAAACTTCGTACGTCCTTTGACAGTTTGAGCGTTAGATGTGAGAAAACAAAATAATGTTATGTCTTAAATGGCATTGCGTTAAACACGAGTTTTAAATATGTTTTATTTTCGTTTGAATTAAAATATTCTTTGACGCATAAGTATTAACCGTTTGAGTGGCGCGATCGCGCTCTATGCGTAAAAATTGACACGAGCGACAGCGCTCCCAAAAGCAGTTGACAAAAATCAAGGATTGTTCTTGGCATTTTTAGGCATGTAAGCAAAATTGTCTATAGACAAACAAATAATATCGTTAAGCCTCAACGTAACCCCGCAATAAGCTTTGAATACTTTCCTATTGCATCTTGACAATTCCATATCTCCTTTTATGAAATCTGCATTCTCTGTTCGTAGCATTTAAATATGCAAAACTGAATTATATTCTTTTGGTAACATTATTCAAAGCATAATATATTAAGTCGAGTGGCTAAATGCGCGACCTCTCTGTTCATACAGTGAAGTATAGGCTTCTTGAGGAAACCGGCATGTATAAGATACAAAAGTCGACTTGTGTCCAAGTCCAAAAGTCGAAAACTTGCAGTTAAAGTGATGTAAATTAATGATTTTAACGACAAGACGAAATTATTGTCCAAACCTTACTCCGATTTTGTGATCCTCCATCCTCCGTGATCCATTTAAATGTTAATTACTTAATTTAGAAACAACTAATGCATTTTTCTATGAATTACTTAGGTAAATAACTAAATACGTCAAAATATCATCTATTATGTATTTGCTACAAATTATTACTAACTTCCAATCAATAGCTAAAATTAATTACTTAAAATGAGCGTTCTGTATTTAAAAACCTTCTAATTTTGTTTTGTTTTACATGGGGCTTTAATAATTTTATTATATTCAAAATATACAAATTAAGATCATATATTTAGACAATGACCTGCCGAGTTTGTTACAAAGGAAACCTTGAAATCTCTAATCGACAGTCTTACAAGACATGTACATGTATGTACGTGATTTTATATCTAGTAAAATAACCTTTATTCCCTACAATTTCACATTCATAGAATTGCGTATATAAACGTAAATGTATTTTAAACACAGTATGTGAAAAGTAAGTATACAAGATAAACAGAGGCAGTGAAGTTAGAATTTAAATTACGCACTGTTTATGACGCGATATTGACAAAGTTAGTAATTACTTCGTTTTAAATATAGACATTACTGTACTTTGACTTCAAGCGAAACATTCCTGTTTGCAAAATAAATAGGTTTTATTATTTTAATGAAAAAGTAAATATTGTCTACATAATGAGTTTCAACACAAAAGTTATGCCGTTTCTTATCACTGAGGGAAAATACGAGACTCGTAGACCTTCAGACTAAATAATAAATAAATTTTGTTCAATATCTACGGCCCACCAGTGATTTAATAATTCACGAAGGCGCTCGAGGAACAAGCAATGTTTCAGTCACTGAATTCATTTTAAGTATACAACCTGACTACTTTCAATATTACCATTTTATTCGCAATAAAATCACCGTAAAGATAACGCTTTTATATTACAAGCTTTTACACACAGGTTTGCTCAGACAGAAACTGGGTCGCACGGATAAAATAGCACTTACATAAATGATTAATAGTGGATATACGCAAACTGAACGATAGTTAATTATGTGTTTGCATAACTTTCAAACCAAATGACACATTTGGCACATTTTTTCAAAACACTAGTCACACGATACATTTCAAATTAAATTTTCTAGAAGATCGACGCCAGAATCCTTTTGTGTATTCTATTCGTTACAATTACTGAAATTGGTCTAATAAAATGATACTAGAACTAAGTGAATTGCGTGGAATGTTTCTTCGAGAGTTGTTTCGAAATCTCGATAATAATATTCAATGTCATTACAATTTATGAACCATTTTGCTCCAATGAAATTATATTTACAAAAACATAACACTAATCGATTTATTCAAACGACGCTAGCAAAATATCATCAATCATCAAGTACACAGGCACACATACGGTCATTATTAAGATCTATTTCCATCTTTCTCCCTCTCTATTTATCTCTGATCTCTTTATTAAGATTATATTTCACTAGGGTAGATCGTTGATTTTATTCATTGTTATACATTTTGAATAGAGATAGAGAAGATACAATTAATTTAACTTGACAATTCATAAGTGTACTTGTTTACCTACATGAATAAAGATATTTTGAGATTGAGTTTGAAGCAAACCTCTGAACCAAGGATAAATGTATTATAAAAAAAAATTGATATTTATAATCGCTTTCCATTTGGCGAATCATAACAAAATATTTATAACTAATTTATACACAGCTTATTCATCAATAAACAGTAAATTTACTTTAAAGCTAAAAATATACTTTCAAACACAGATGCTAATTAAAATTGGGTTGTCTTTGATAGCACGAAAAGGTAACCTTTTAACTAAACCTTTAATCAACGCTTGATTCATTGAGCTTTTCATACTGATTCTAAAATTCAGAGTTGACATTTATTTTCAATATCGGATGATGCATTGACAAGGCCAAATGATGTCACTGGTATCAAAGGTACATTTAAAATTTTTATTGACATTACGAGTATATTGTTAGTTGTATAGATAATACAAAAATTCAAGGCGTATGTATTAATAATAAGTCAGTCTCATTAAGATCTTCACGTGTAAATTGTTTCAGGAGATTTGGACACGAGTTCTTTGCTCTATATGTTTTTAGTTTATTTACAGATAGTTTAGTATTGTCACGATACCTTTCGTATTGTATTCCACTCTCATAACAGTATGATACTGCATCGATGCATTGGAATGATTCATGTTCGTGAGGTTCCAAATAAACTTTAAGAGGTCTTACGTATTATACTATATTATATATTATATATATACATACAAAAACCTAACGTTACTATTCTTTTACGATAACTATTTGATTTTATGTATATAGCTACTAAAGTAGCACAACTGTACTCACTAAGTTCAGTATTGGGCGAATAGCGTGTGCCTGGCGATCTCGCAGTCGTAGGTACGAAATTGCGTGTCTTAGATTTTTCTTTCTATGTTTGCTTTTAATGTTTAAGGCATAGCAGCCTATACTTGTCAAAGAAACACGTAATCTAAGGCAAAGATCCTTGAAGGATACTAGCGCCTTTAGATTTTTATTTTTATTTAAACACAATATCGACTGTTACGTCTACTTAGAAACCGTTTCAGTGGTTAATTACTTTAGCTTTATATCAAACTTGACTAGGCACACATGGCTTATAGCCCGGAGGTCACTTTCTCTTTCCCGACAATAAATGAGGCATACTATATGAGGCCTATTCCTAACTTTTAGAACTAACTTCAGAAATGCTTCGCTTGTTATTAAGACTTCAAAAAAAATTAAAAACAATAAATATGAATCCATACAAAAATAAACCAGATAATTTTTTTAAACACTTACTAATGCATTAATAATTACAGAATTTAAATGCTCATAGACAATTTAATGCACTTGTGTTTTTCTATTTTTCCGCTATATGTCATTAAGTGAATTCCCAAACCCCAAGGTATAAAATAAATCACGCGTGACCTATTTAGCCACGAGGGAGATTATTGATGACCACAAAAATGACCTATTTATATACTTTCCTATAGCAGAACAATATTAAAATATAATACATAACAAACTCTTTGTCTTACAACTTACTTCTTAGTTACGTTTAGGAATTGGTTCCTCATTCATAAGCGTAGTAACATAGAATATTTTCTTTACCTTTGATAAAGTCTTCGTCCTAGCCTAGTTTAATACTTTCATTAAATAGATAATAGCTTGAGGTAAATTATATATACGAGATTACGATAGCAATATTAAAATTGTATCTTCGTACAACGTCTCATGTTTTCGACATTAATATCTGGAACAGCCTACCGATATTATAACTATATATATTATATATTTTATTTTTAGGTGCCGTCTTAACATAGCTAGATCGAATTTAAAGAAAATAATGTTCAACAATAGGTTAAGAGGCATCTTTTTGGAATTTGCTGTAAATGTCACACAAAAAGTTGTTAAAAGAAATAGGTAGTAGTGTTTAATCATCCGGGTTACCAATACCATTAACGTAAGCTATTTAATACCTCCGACGAGTAGATCCATAGTCGGGGAATTATCTAGAAAATATAAAAAAAAACACCTAGCTAATCGGTCAATGAAGGCGCTTTAATGTGTACGTATGAAGATTACGGGAACAAAGAAAAAGTTTCATTTCATCAAATATACGCCTATATGGAAAACCTCGGGCCATATTTAACATTAGGATTTCGTAACACGTAAAGAAACTCTTGTCGCTGCCATTTAAAATACTACTTTAAATGTACCCAACAAGGTTTAATTTTGATTAATGTAAGCAATTGTATTTAGGGTTAAATTAATTTTTAGCAGGGATTTACAATATTCGTTCGCCGCTTATTTATTTAGTGAATATTTGATTGCGTTTATTTATTTGCAAAGGCTCAGCGTTTATGAACAGTATATTGGAATGCAAAGCGCTACAACGAATTCGGATCGGCTATTACATTACTAGCGCAATGCAAATAGATATATATATAAGATAGATAACCTTTTAGCTAATAGATTATTAATAGAAACTTACAGCCAGCCATTGACATACTGCGACTCTAACGAAACGCAGCTCGCAGATTAGATTATAATAAGCCTGATATTACTAATAAATTATACGATCCAAGTGAAAGTAAACATAATTTATTTCCATGTCGATCAAAGCCGACAGAGTTAGTAGCTATTACAGAGATGAATATACAGGGCCATCATAGGGGTTTTTATTGATGACATATTCTATTGTATTTAAAAGTATGTATTGAGTCAAAAGATGTAAGACATTTGGACAAGCACTATTCATTTGCAATTCAATACAAATCTGACAGAAATATCAAAGTAAATTTTTTATTTGCTATTACGGAAATATGTACTACCAAATAACCACCATACTCATATAATACTGAATGTATAACTATAGATGGATTTTCACATAAAATGTGTTTTATCGAAAATCTCATTCTAGCTAACACGCATAAGAATAAGCACTTTTAAGAAATGTTTTAATAGTAGCCCTAGTTAAGAAGTTAATTACTTCATGCTGTTGTACACCTGATTTCGTGATATTCCGCTCGTGTCGGACATTATAAGAGTAATGGAATAAAGTGTAGATATTAATTCACATGGGCACCTACAACCTGCGTCAGGCAGTCTTAATAGAGATAAGCCTCCGTGGCCGAACCGGTGGAACTTTATTTATATTCAAAGTAGTAGATTTCTATTTCTATCTATACAAAACTTCCCGGTTCGTTGTAATTACAATTGTGATAAATAAAATAACTAATAAAATGTCCTATATTATAAATAAACATTTGAATTCAATCTTTAGACGTCATTACTTGTACGTTTTATACAGCCTGTGTTTCTACTTCAATTGAGAAGAAATATCAAAAATTGATACACGATTGTTTACCTTTATCTTGCTTATTGGGATATCGAATCTTTTTACAAAAAAATGAAGCCTTAATCTCAAACAATCTTTTATATGTTTTCAGCATTCGTTACTGGATATATTTTAATTTACAAAGCCAAATCGTATTTATTATTATATAAGATACGTTGAAAAAATCAAAGAGGTCACCGGTTATCGATATTCTCGATGCCAATTAATGTTGATAAATTTTAGTATAATACAGCTTGTACTCACTTCTTGTCCTTCCAGATTGCAGTTATTGCTGTTAAATCTCATCAACTTTACTGTTTTATCGTTCGATCCGGTCGCAAGTAGATCTCCAGCTGGACTCCAAGCGAGGCAGTAGATGCTGCCTTTGTGATGTTTCGTTCTCTTTAATAAAACCTGCGGCGCCGACGGAGTGCTTGTATCCCTAAAACCATAATATAATGTATTGCCAACTACCAATGTTTGAAATAATCAGTATTGAGAGGTTTTAATTTAATAAAATAACTGTTTTTTTTGTTGCCCAACTAGAAGAAATGAATGCTTCCACGTCAAATACTTTGTGTCAAAATGGGACAGGAAACTCGAAACGGTGTTTTTTTAATATTCCATTTTACAAATTAACCTCAAAATTAATTTTAAAATAATTAACATTTTACTACTATTCCCAAGACTTAAAAAAAAATGTCAAATCTGCTAAAACTTTTTTCACTAACTATCATTATTACATATACAGTGTAAACTCTTTATAACGTCCTTACGTAACGTTATCGTTATAAGGACAAATCTCTATAACTTAAACATGAGGTACATATGTTTGGTTTAACACAAAACCCGTATATTCGTGCACTCTTTATAACTTAAAGCCCCTCTCTATTACGAAGAAATATTTTCATATTTAGACATGATCAACATTTTTATTATCAGATTACAAAACTAACGAAGTTTCTAAGAACGACACCTGAGGTCATAAAAAGCGTTCTTGCCTTTGTTATTGTTAATTGTATTAACACGTGTGCCATTAGTTTTAGATTACATTGCCTGTAGGAAATTTTGGTCTCAGTTACTAAACGCACCATTGTCACCTATCTATTATTTATATATATAAATTATTGTAATGGTTAAATTTTGTGTTTTACTGTTTCCTCTCTATAATGAAGAAAATGCTCGGTCCCTTGAAATTCGTTATAAAGAGTTTACACTGTATATTATAGTTTTGTATTGCATTATTATATAATTGAGGTATAAAATGCATCAACTAAATACAAATAGAAATAGTATAAAAATATCACTATCTTAACAAAAATGAAAAAGAATATGCAAAGAAATGAATGACATTCAGTTCATTTCTTACTTGTTATATTTTATTTGCAGGCGGTAACCGCACTGGTTTATTAAGGTTGAATTCGATATGAGAACTCCCGTATTTGGTGGAGGAAGCGTTTTTTCATTTTCATTAAAAGAAGATCTATCCGAAACTGTGTCAACATTGACATGATGGCTTAGGTGGTATTATTTTATTTGTAAAAACATTTTCGTTTAAAACAAACCTTTAGTTCCGAAATGATACAAAAATCATCTGAGTTAGGTAAAGTACATAGGATTAATGAATTCCGTAGTTAGCCATAAATCTGTCGATATCAACTATAAGATCTCCTTGATAACTCATTGCAGGGTAAACATTGATATTGTAATAGATTTAACTTTACTTAAAGTTCACATTTAAATTCCATGATTTGTCTATGGTCCTTGCATGCATCACAATCGACATTTTCATCTAATATTTCCTAAATCCTGAACGGATCTGACATTATAATACCACGTTTAACTATTCTGATAGATTTATTGAAAATGTCAAAGTGGATTAAAATTGTAAAAGGAATTAGGAAACAATAATTTATTTGGAGAGGAATACCTCACAGGGATTCTATTATACTCTATATATAGAAATGCCGTTGTAATTTTAATATTATTACATACTAAAAATAATACAGAAAATTAAAAAAAAACATTAAACGTTAGACTTGCAAGATCTTAACAGCCTTAAACTTATATAAAGCGTGCTCAGTGGAAAAAATGCATTGAAAAAGTCATTAGTAACAGATATTGATCTAGAAGTGAGATTTAATGTAGTTAGTCGAGCCTTTTAAATTCTGATTTCTTTCAAAGATGAGAAAGTGTGCTGTTCCATTAACTGTTATCTGATATTACGTAAACAATGTCACTCTACTGTCTATACGCGACATTTTATGTACTAAATTATCACTTATCTAACAGTGTACAATAGTTACACATTGTTATAAAATTTTCTGGAACTTAATAAATATAATTTTGTATAAAGCCTATATGTATTGGACTTAACAAGAACGAGATTGAAATAAGAAATTGAAAAAGGATAAGATAAATTATTATATTCAGATTAAGATTTAAGTAATATAGACTAAGTTAAGTATAAGTAGTGTGTAATATATTCTATTAAATGTCTCCAATAATAAATATTTTTAAGCGATTTCATAGAATCATTTGTCTTTTGGATGTGTATGGGATATACATTATACCTATTATATTTCGATCCAAGTATTAATAATTGAATCTACTATAAACGACCTACATCTTTTTGCCTTGTCTAAACGGCTAAAACAGGTCCTTATTTGGTAATTTTCTGTTACTAACGATAAAATAGTTTATTGCTCTTTCCCATTTCTGATGATCAAACAATTAGTTCAACGTCTTGTTTCCTAACTTCACAATATGACGTAAAGAATGAATTTAAAATACCCAAAATAAAAATACAAAGCCGTATATGTCGATAAAACAAAAAATGAAATACAAGAAAACAATAGAACATTCGCAGTAAAGTCTGGAATTTTTCTTTTCTAATGGCTACACTTAATAAATCATAAAGGCAATTCAAAGAGAAACTGTATCAAACAGCGTTAACTTTCACACTCATGCATACGGAAGTTAGAAGCATGACAAAAGTACCAATTTTGCGGAATCATGCTCTCATTCTACAGTACCTTTTGTATTTGATTGAACTATAAATCTCTTACAACGTATCGATTATATAATATCAGTCTTCAATATGAGACATATTTATGTCTTATTTAAGTATTAATATTTAACAGAATTAATTTGCCAAGTCACACATACAATTAAAAGAAACCTATCAACTGCGTGTATGTTCAATATTTAAATGATATAAATTAAAAAAATAATTAAGGATTCATGTTTATGGAGTAATACTAAAAAATATATGTACCTAAAAGAACAGATGTTTTTCTCATTAAGCTAAACCAGAATATGATAAATGTTAATTACGTAATATAATTGTTATGTTAAGTTGTTAAAGTGAGTCAATTCAAAGAAAGTGTAACTTAAGGGCCTTATATTGTTACGAACAAGTTGCTTGTCGTTTTAACCAAGTGCTCGAACTACTATGTACAAATGGGTTTTATTTATTTATTTATTTATTTTGTAAACCTACAGCTAACATAAATTATATACAATCACAAAAAGTTACATTAAAAATATAGCCAAATATGGAATACATAATAATACATTTAACTACAAAATGGTTCAAGAATTTATAAAAGGAAACAAACAAATAAAAACTATTCAATACGTTTATCTAAGTGGTACCTAATTTGGTTGTGTTGTATGATGGTGTAAAAGTGAGGGTAAGTATGTGAAGGTGTGTATGTGGGGTATGCTCATGATGCAGGTGATTTTGCGCTATGGATATTCTTAATACTTCTTTTAATCATATTCCGCGACAGCTTAAACAGGTCAAGGCTTAAATATTGGTCGTTGTATGTCCGGGCTGCGCGATACAAAACTGAGTTCCTTGCATAGTTAGTGTTAATGTGAGGAACATGGAACAAAGCACGATTACGAGTCTGGTAGGCAGGAACAAGGAAGGGCAATTTTTCTAGAAGGGAGCTACAATTAATTTTATTTGAGATGATGTCATGTAGTAGCAATAAATCATATTGTTTTCGTCGAGAGTCTAAAGTATTAATTTTAAATTGTTCACACGCGTCATTATATGTATTAAACTTATTGTAGGTCTTATAGGAGATAAATTTTATGAAGTCTTTTTGGATCTTTTCAATTTTTTCTTTGTGTACAGTGTAACTAGGTGACCAAACCGAGCAACCATATTCGAGAATACTTCTTACGTATGTATAGTATAGCACTTTCATACAGTCGACATTATGAAAATGTTCACTAACATGTCTTACAAAACCAAGCTGCTTATAGGCCTTGTCAACTATTGTGTCAATATGGTTATTATACGTCATTTTATAGTCTAACCATATACCTAAGTCACGAACACAATCTACTTCTTTTACAGATTTGTTATTAATATGATAGCTAAAGTTAATTTTGTTTTTTTTTCTGGTGAATGTTATTTTGACACATTTGGAAGTATTAACCGATATTCGATTTTGTCTATAATAATTGGAAAGGTGATTTAGGTTTAGTTTTTTGGGTAACTGTACGGTGAATCCATCTCTTAGATCCAGTCAACGACGATGCCTTTAAATAAAAAAGTGACCCACTGAGAATATAACCTTCAAAGCAAAGTACATTACAATGGTGAATAATTCTTTTGACGAGAATATGTAGGAACAATTATGTTCGTCAATTTAACTTAATGGTCTTTCAAAGACTTCTAAGAGGTCGTCTTTTAACGGAACAGTTCTTTGAGTGAACAATACTGACTCAACAGATACGTTTATAGAGGATGTTACTTAATGACTTCGTGAGCTGAACTTAAATGAAATTTGTCATATAGTTTCACGACATTCAGTCTCGACACATAATCCCGCTTACTTTTATTGCGAATATGAATGACCTCATTCTAAGCCCACACAGGTGAAATCGGTCATGACAGTTTTGAGAGAGCTATAAACATTAATAGGGACAGCCATATTTTTGGTACTGTTTTATCGATTTGCTTCACCATAGGCAAGTCGGTAGCATATCAACAAATTATTTGTTTCACTGTGGATTAAGGATGTCGGTCTATTAGATACGTGAATTAGTTGTAACATGTGAAAATTGATTTTAATTTAGTTTTTGTCGAATGTATATTACTAGTACAATTTTCCTACATTATTCCTGACATTGTATACTTAAGAAATATTTGTAATATTTGTAAATGTAAGATGTTATAATTTTTAATTAGTTAAGGTAGTATGTAATAAATCGATATACTTAAAATGTACATTTCTTATTAAATCTGTTCAAGCGGTAAAGCGCTTAGATATTGCCATCATGTTAGTAAAAATCCTAATACATATTGCTATTTCGTAATACGTGCCATTAGCATGAATATCTCAGATGGCATCCGCTTTCTATTCTAACGCATGTTACACCAAATGATAAATGTATAGTTTACTAATGTTTGAATGAGTTGCA